GTCAAGGATTCCAATACAAACATGAAAGGATATGGTTTCAGTGGGTTCCTATTGTGGTCTGCATGTGTGTTCTCTACAGGCTCACGTGTTTTAACACCTGGTACCCAGCTGGTGGCACTGCTTGGGAAGGTTGTAGAACCCTGAGGAGGTGGAGCCTTGCTGAAGAAGGGGTCTCTGAGGGCCCTGGGGCTTTAGAGCCTGGCCCACTTCCAGCTCATTCCCTTGTTTTCTGAGTGTAGATATAATGGGATCAGCCAGTGTCCATTGCTGTAGGTGGCCGTGACATGCCTTCTCTGCCACAGCGGACTGTGTCTCTCTGGAACTGTGAGCCAAAATAAATGCTTTCTCCCTTAAGATGCTCTGCCAGGGCATTTTATTACAGCAATGAGACAGTAACTAAGGCAGTTCCCTTGTTTAATTTCTGAACTTGAAAGCCCTGCTCATCAACATATTCCCAATTGCATTATGTAGACTATCCGGGAATAAGGATATATCCTTCATGAGACTTTGGAAGGATCTCTCAAATCTTATCTTTTATTAGAAATAGGTCCCAATTCTATTAGATATACTTTCAGGAAATTAGAATAATCACTCTTAATTACTTTACCTACTAACTTACTATAATTAAAGCTTTTCTTTTATTAAACTAGTTAAACTCTTGCCTGTAACAATGAATAATCTCAGTCTACTACAGAATTTCATGTAAATTTTCTCACTGTAATCCTACAGACCAAGGCTGTCTCAATGGGGCTCTCTTTTTCAGAGACGTAAAAAGGAAAGAATTCTATTACACAAGAAAGCTGCTTCTAGATTTCAGGAAAGCCTCGCACAAGGGCATCATTATTCTTTGTAACTGAAAACAATTCACTGTACACTTGGTAGTTTTGAGTGATATTGGGTATTTTGGAATATTCTCGAATGGCTTTTCAATGACCTCTGCACTCTGGGCTTTTGTTCCTCATCCCCCATTTTTTTCTTGCAATAAATACTCAATTATGTCACCATGAAGTTTATTCCTATGTAGTTGACATTCCTCAATAACTTCTTTTAATCTCTCTTTAGTGCCACCCAGAGAATATATAATGATAAAATGTGGAGGAATGATGGGTGGGGTGGGAAGAGGTGGCACCCAGTATTCAGTGCAAATGGAAGCAGCCCAGCAGAAGCCACAGAACGTGTCAGATGCCTGGGTTCCCACCATGAAGATGAAGGAGGTACCAAGAGTATTGTGTTGAGTAAGAGCCCCACCAGGAGTCAGCTAAGGTACTGTCAGTGGGCTGCCATCTCTAGGTTGTCTGGTGACAGGTTCCCTTTAGCCTCTCAGCTAATTCCTGACACTGGGGAACTGTGTACTGAGCACCCTAGGGAACCAAGCTCTGTTTTTTGTCTATACTGCATGTCGAATGCCGGGCCCTGCACTTTCTGAGACAGGATCTCGTTCTGCTGCCCAGGCAGGCACTGAACTTGTTCTCTTCCTGCTCAGTCTTTTAAGTAGCTGGGATGACAGGCCTGGCCAAGGTCTGTCTTGGAAACCAGCTCATTAGGTTGGTGGCTTGGGCTGGCCACGTCTGCGTTCTGCAGGGGACAGCAAGACTCCAAAGCACCACAAGGTCTCATGACACAAGCCAGAGGGAGGTCTTACAGAGCTGTGTCTTCTCCAGGGGACAATGGTCTGCTGCAGCTCCGGTAACCTTCTCTCTCCCATTAATTCCGTCTTGCTCATGCACTTTTATGGTTTGGGATCATATCTGCTAAATGTTAATCAATATTCAAAGAAAAACTGATTATTCGTCAATTTATACACTGATATTTTATCTGCTGTTGAATTTTAAAATGGATTTCATCTTTTATTTTATTTGTCTGTGTATGTGCTGCATGCACATGAGTGTGCACACCCATGCTCACAGAGGCCAGAGGAGGACATCAGTTGTTTTCCTCTCTCACACTCTTCCACATTATTGGCTCAAGACAGAGTCTCACTGAACTGGAAGCTTGTCATTTTGGCTAGACTGGCTGGCTGGCAAGCCCCTGGACAAGCCCATCTCTGCCCCACCCCACAATGTCACCCTTGGATAACAGGCATGCACAGTCAATGTCCAGCTTTTGATGTAGCTGCTGGGGATTTGAACTCAGGTCCTTTCACTTACACAGAAAGTGCTCTTACCCACTGAGCAGTCCTCCCTAGCTCCTCTGTGCAGCTTCCTGGAATCTTTTGAAGTACAGTTAAGTTAATTTTCTTCTGTAGCCAGATGTCACAGGTAGTAAGGTAGAGCCACAAGCAATTTTCCCATTAAAATGTTTCTAAAGCATTGTATATTTCTCTAAGCACTACTCTTTATGGCTACAGGGCAAATACTTAACACGTAGCACTCTTTTCATCATTATTCACTAATAAAAAAGAGAACCATCATATTCCTTAATTCTTCTTAGGCAGTTACTAGAGTGACATTTCACACATCTCCAAAGTTCAGATCTTGAGTTTCACCTCTAGTTTTCCTGATGAATTGTTTCGCTGCCTGTGGTCAGCGAGGTCTGGGAATGTTGCCCTCTGGAAGGCACGCTCATTGGCAAGCTTCCTGGTGACGTATCTGTGGTCACAGTAACACCCCCCATTTTTCATACTAATCATAGTTAAACATATCAAACAGTTGTAATGGGGGGAGGGAACGATGAATTTGGTGCCTCAGCTCTACTCTTGAATAACACAACAAAATCTAAGACCTTAAGCTTTAGCTCAATGAAGATGACATGGCTTTTTGGTGGATGAATAAACAAGTCAGTGGAACACATGACTGCCAGGGAGGAATTCCTGTTTTGATTTTATAAGTAAGACTTGTGGTGTCTGTTGTGTGAGTTTTCCTGAGGAGATGGAAAGGAACATCTATTCATCCCAGATGTAGACAGCACCCACAAACCAAAGAAAAGAGTCCATTCAAGGGCAGCACGGTGAACCAATGAGTTTGTGGGGGTGACTTTGAAGAGCTGCATCACTGAAAAGCCCCACCCACATCCTTCTGCCTTCTACGCTCTATCCAAAAGGCCACATGCAGCTGGGTAAGAGGGCGTGGGGATGGAAATCTTAGATCAGGGTCCTTTGAGTACCCTTCTTCTATGAGAAAATGCTGTTGGGTTCAATCTGATGAGGCCGATTTAAGATCACCAACCCAGAGGAAACAGTTACACTGATGTTTCACTCCAACAGGCTGATAAATTCTATTTTCAAAACCCCATTTTCAGATGTGTCGACTGTCCAGTATGGATGCTGGCTGAAGTCTGAATCCAGTAAGACACTTTACCCCTCCAAAGTTAGCAGCTTCTGACAGGGAAACAAACGAGCACACGGATACTAGGACACTACCCAGACTGTTTCCAGAAGGGGTGATGCACTCGTGCACAAGTGTCCCCTGTCAGCTGTCAGCTGTCCTGTCTCAAAAGTAAACTCCTCCACTGGCAGATTCGCACCCCAGGGGCATGGGCATAAAGAAGGCCTCTCTGGCAGGTTAGTCACAAGGGGAGAGGCAGGGTTACAGCAGCAGACCTTGGTCTTCTGTAGCTAGATGTCACAGGTAGTAAGGTGGGGCCACAAGCAACTGACAGGTGTCAGGAGCCAGTGGAGGCTCTGAGCCCTGGGGACAGCATATTCTGTTAAGGCTGGAAGGCCCTGACAGCCTCACAGTGGGCAGAAGGCAAGGCAGCCCATCAAACGACCCCGCATCAGTTCATCCACTGGGAGAGGCAGGAGCACAAAGAATGTGGCACTGTCAGAGCCTGTATGTAGAGTCTTCTCATGGGCTAATGTGTCAAGTACCCGCTCCCCAGCTGGGATGATGCCTGGGGAAGGTGGGATCATGCTGGATGAAGTCTGTAGGCGGCCCCACTTCCTGGTCTGCTGTGATGTGAATGAGTACCCACTGCCCACTCCCACGGCTTGCCCACCAGCGTGCCTTCACTGGTGCCTCTCAAACCACGAGCTAAAGCAGGTTTGTCCTCCCGCAGGCCATGGCTTGGCAGGCGCTTGGTCACAACAGTGAGAAAAATAATACCAGTAGTAAACGGCAAAAGCTCTAAGAGTTGTGGCCCCGCACCACACAAGGTCCAAACAATGGGAAGCAGCTTCTTCATGTACTTTGTGGACAGTTCCCCATGAGCTGGAAAAGCGTGCTGCTCCCCAGGCGGCAGCTTCAACCAGACAGTCACAGCAGCAGTGGTGATCAAAAGCAGTATGGCAGCCAGAAGGGCTCTTGGAGCTCAACTGACCACCGCAGCCTACTGACCCACAGGCTTAACTGATCCACCGCAGCCCATGCATCCCATGCATTCATAGGCTTTACTGACCTCTGCAGTCCACCAATCCACAGGCTTAACTGACCCACTGACCCACAGGCTTATCTGACCCTCTGCAGCCTGCCAATCCACAAGTTTAACTAACCTACTGACCCACAGGCTTAACTGACCCTCTCCAGTTTACTGACCTACTGCTCCACAGGGTGAGAAGAAGCCGAGGCCCACACAGCTAGAGGGACTTGCCAGAGCACACAATCCTGTCAGAGTCTTCTGTACTGGCACTAAGTCAGCACCTGCTCGTCCTACCAAACTTGGCAGCTTTGGCCTCTTGAGAGTTCTCTCCCATGTCACCTTAGTGTGCTTTAAGGACAGAGAGAGAGGGAGCTAGGCAACCATGCATGCTTTACACACAGAGAAACGGAGCCAAAGAGGAAAAGAGGCTTGTCTGATGGGGGGGGGGGGGAGCTAGTATCTGGAGCAGAATTTAGGGCTTGAAATCTCTTGCCTAGCACTGATTTCACCAAGTGACTTGACCACATCTAGATGCTTCCTTAGAACCAAGTCTTCTCCTATTTCATCTTCAAAGATGGGCAGAGCATTCAACATTTGCCAGATGATCCAATACATAGACATGTGTTCCTAAGCTGCAGTATAGGTCCTGCAGGAGCATGCTCCCTGGACACACAGAAGGGCCTGGGGTGTGGGTGAATCTTTACCTTCAAACGCTCGTGCAGCATCCACAAGATGGGACCAATCTAACCCTGTGGCTGTGTCTGGTAGCGGCATCAGGCCGGGATCTGCACACTTGGATTTATCCGATAAGGACCCGTCGGAAAACCAGAACTCATCTGAGTAGAAACAAAATCAGAGTGTAAGTCAGTCAGTCTGTCTCCACCCAGAATCACAGCATGGGTATCATTGTCCCCAGAGTCTGGCATCAGTCAGTCAGTCAGAACATGGGTACCATTGCCTTTAAAGAGAGTCAGTCAGAAGGCCAGTCAGTCACAGCATGGGTACCCTCACAGGGAATCAGTCAGTCAGTCACAGCATGGGGACTACCATCCAGACAGGGAATCAGCCAGCCAGCCAGACAGTCAGCCAGCCAGATAGTCAGCCAGCCAGCCAGTCGGTCAGAGCACGTGCACCATCACCCTCACAGGGCATCAGTCAGTTGGTTCGTCACGGCATAGGTACCATAGATCCCACGGAGTACATCAGTATGAGCACCACAGTCCCCAGTATGGTCGTCTGTCAATCCATTAGTTACTGTCTACATGGTCAGTCACAGCATGAACACTGCTCCCCACACAGAGCCAGTCAGTTAGGTCACAGCGTGGTTATCACTGTTCTCACGCAGTCAGTCACAGCATAAGCACCCCACTCCCTGTCTGGAGTCAGTCAGCCTGTCATTCCACTAGTCATTGTCCTCACAGACAGTTAGTCAGCCAGTCAGAGCATGGGCACTGCTGCCCACACAGTGTCAGGGAGTCAGCCAGCCACTCACAGCATGGGTACCATTAGACCCTCCCTAGAGCCTGTTTGTCTGTTGGTCCATCAGTCCCTGCATAGGGACCATTGTCCCCGCAGGGCCAGTCAGTCACAGCCAACAGCACTGCTGATCCTTCCAGGGTCAGAGAGTCAGTGAGTAGGTCTGTCAGTCACAGCACAGAGAGCATGTCCCTACTCAGTCATGGCGTGAATGTCACAGTCGCCACTGAGTTAGTTATAGCACAGGTACTGCCATCATCTCTCACAAAGGGGCCTAGGAAACCGTAGAAAACATGTCCTGCTAAAATAGGGCACATTAAACCACCCCAAAGAGATGGAGGTTTGTCATAAACAGCCAACACGAGACCCGCTGGATGGCAGTGAGCAAGCAGGGGCGGTCAGCATGGAGCCTTGCAGAGCATCCTCACTTTACACTCTCTCTCGCAGAAGCTTTCTGAGGCCTGGGAGAAGCTCTTGTTTCCTCAGGGTGGCTGCCCCCCTTTAAAAAATGCCTCCACCCTCACACTGCCTTGAAGCAGGCTGGTAGCAATCTCTTTTCTGATGATTTCCAAAGTGTGAGGAACAAGGTCAGCAAAGCTGAATGGCAGACATTACAGACCCAAATGTGGTGAGGGCTACCTCAGTGAACAGATTAGAAAAAGGAAGGATGTCTCTTCGAGACCTATGTGCAGATGTGGCTGCTGGCCCACTCTTCCGACTTCACAGGATAGCCCTACTACGGCCGCACCGGAAGCCTCCGGGCCCGTCCTCGCTTCCTGGAATGCCTGACAGTTCTGTCAGCAGAGCACGTGTGTTTTCCCACCATTCCTTTTCTCCCGAAGCTCTCGCAGCAGCTCCTTAAGTGCTCAGGACATTAATAACACTCATTGTTAAGAACTCGTTATGCATCTGAGAAGAAACTCTGACAGGGCCTGACCGGACGATTTCAAAGTGCCTTTTCTGAACCTGCCCAGAGCAGTGCATGCAGCTGCTTGTGGCCGCGTCTGACTAATGAGACCAATCAAAGTAATGGCCACCTGGCCGGCGGAACCTGCAATTAAGTTCAGGGGCGTAATTAAGCAAATGCACCTGTGATTTCTGCACCTCCATCCTTCTGGGAAGCTGTGAGGGGCTGGCATCTGGAATGGGACAGACATCATTCTGCACACGTGGCCCTGAAGGACACCCACAGCCTGCTCCCACTCCACAAATGCAGACCGCTCTCAGTGACAGTGACACCAATCAGTGCTGTTTCCAGGAGACCACGCTGAGGAGTAGTGATGTCTGCCAATGTGTTCCCAGTCTCCACTGAGGGGACACCATGGCGGCCTCTCCCTGGACATCTCTACAGTAACAGCACTTCATGCTTGCGCTCTGCCATTGTCAAGAGGAAAGCCAGCAGCAAAGGCTGGAGCAGGAGCTGGGAGAGAGAGGTTTTTGGGTCCCTCTTCTGAGGCCTTCTCTGGGGTACCTTGGAGGGGCCACTGGCCAGTACTAGGAAGAAGACAGTGGCTGGTCTGTTAGCAGAATGAAAGGGACAGTGGCTGGCTGGCATGATAAAGGAGGGCTGGAGGGCTACGTGAGAGTGAGAAGGACAGTGTGGCTGGTTCTGATTTAGAAGGTGGGGTGAGAGTTAATTTAACACCCTCCAGTGGAAAGATCACTCCCCCAATTACTCAATGAAACAACCACTTGGCAGTCTTGGGCTAAAAATTCAAGCTGTTTCCGAGGCAAGGCACAGATTAAGAATCCTGGGGCTGAGGGGCAGATGAGAGAGACTGGGTGTGCAGACAGGGGTGACTTAGTCAGCCCTAGAGTCTGCTCACACGAGAACCCAAGGGCAGTCACCACCAAGTGGCACTGGGGTCTCAGCAGGTGCCCTGCATAAGCCAAGGCGAGGGCAGACACCCTCATCTCCCCCAGCTCCCAGCCATGCAGGGAGCCAAGGGTGGGAGACAGCATGCAAAGCTGCTCAGGGCCAAGGCCCCTTCCACGGTGAAAGGAACTTTTGCAGATTCAAAACCGAGGAGCACGTGGAGGAGACTGCGTGAGAAGTCCCCTCTGGCTGGGCCTCCAGCGCTGTCTTTAGAGTGGCTGCTCCATCACATCACAGGAGTGGGACAGACGTGACACTGCTGGGGCTCCGCTCGTGGGCACTGTCACTAGGAGACAGACACACACTGGGCTTCCTGAATCGTTTGAAAAAGACAGGCTAGGTGATGTGCCGGGAGAAGGAGTCCTGCCTGTCTAAGGAGGCGACGCTTGCTTGAGGTCCGAGTGACAAGGGGGAGCTGGCAGACAGCTGACACACTACTGGCATAAAAGCTCGGGATGAGTGTGGGGAGATTTGAACCTGACCTGACCTGAGCAGGGAGAGCCTTAGGCTGTGGCTGTCTTACAGACAACCCAGGAGCTACATGTGCCTTTTCCAATAATCAAAATCTGGCACACTTAACGTTATTTTTCTTCCATTGAGTCGAAATGAGGTAATTAAGAATAAGATCAGCCTTTTAAAATTCTTTTTGTTCAAAGACTCAAACCAGCAGCAATCTGTTACGTCTTTAACTGACACACACCTCTGCCTGCATTACTGGATGTGACACTGGGAAGCCAGCAGGCACAGTCACCATGTCAGAGGATGGTGGAACCAGTGAGGACCCATGAGGAGCCAGGGACGGGAGATAAACACTGTCCGTGGTCTGGTGGGTTTGGATATGGTGGGAAGGAGTCTCCACTATGCCTGTGATATTACACTCTGTATGTGTTCCGTTCTCCAAGATGGATGGCTTCTGGAAAAGACTCCCTTGTCATAGCTACCCAAAGCTATCCTTTCAAATCCAATCTTCAAAGCCTTGGGGTGCCTCAGGAGATTCAGAAAGTGATCAGCTAGGTGACTGCACTGACTAGCTCCCTGGCCACCAGCTCCCTGGGCACAGCTGTAGAGCCTACAGCATGTGACTGACTCCCAGAACAGCATCTGGCTCCTCACAGAGCCAGGAGGGCCTGTGCTATGACAGTCAGGTCAGATAAGATGATACACTTAGAGAAGAGAGAAATATAAAATTAGAATAGGGGTACTTCCTGGGGGTCCCCGAAGAGGTGAAGAACAGAAGGAGGCCTAGTTGGCCTGAACACATTTCTGGGTACAAGTAGACAATCATCAGCTTCACCTGGACAGAACCATGCAATTTCTCTGCTTAATTATCTCTGCCCACACTGCATGAGGACCTAGATTTTAGGGTGTCTAGTGTCTAGGCCCTGTTGCCCATCCAGCATGTTCTTTAGCCCTGGACACCAATCTTGTGGATTCCTAATATCCCTCCACCATCCTGACTATGTCTGACTTTATTGGTGTTATCACAAATGCTAAGGGGCCACCCTGACAGCATCAACTAAATGGGTCCTGAATGTGAACTTTATAGATGACAATAGTGAATCCCAATGTCAAAAGGTTGGCTCCATCTGACACAAAGAGCTACCCAAGCTAGAAGACATCACATGGACACATTGTGTCATGTGACACAATGTTTGTCTTTTGAGAATCTAAGAGGTACTCCTGGGCAAGTGCTCTTTTGTGTTCACCACTGAAAGACTGCTTCTGGGGGTCAGAGCTCACACTGCAGCAATTCAGAATGCTGCCAATTCTCAGGGGGCTGTGTCCCTTTGGGGGTCGGGGTCTGTGCAACAACCAGGACAGCACTGGATGAATGGATTCTCAGGGGACAGATGGAAACCGTCACACAAGTATCAGAGGTGGTCATGGACCAGGAACTAGCATCTTCCTGGCTGCTTAAGATTCAGAGCAGCCGGAAGGGAATCAGAGGTTTGGAGAAGGTAAGTCATTACATGTTATTTCAAGGCTTCTTATTTACATCCAGTTACGCATTATAGTTAGTACTTCTACTACTGTAGAGTTCTGAGCAGTTTAAGGCTTGAGGAGACATATTACCAAATGAGTGTTTTATGAGATTGCACTTAATAGCAAGGACATATAAAGAAGAGACAAGAGGCTGGGTGGTGGTGGTGCACGCCTTTAATCCTAGTACTTGGGAGGCAGAGGCAGGCGGATCTATGTGAGTTCGAGGCCAATCTGGTCTCCAAAGTGAGTTCCAGGAAAGGCGCAAAGCTACACAGAGAAACCCTGTCTCGAAAAAACAAAAAAAAACAAAAACAAAAAAGAAGAAGAAGAAGAAGAAGAAGAAGAAGAAGAAGAAGAAGAAGAAGAAGAAGAAGAAGAAGAAGAAGAAGAAACAAGAACATGGTACAAACATCGTGCTTCTTTTCTCAGTATGCCTTGGTACTGTGGACATATATGAAGAATCCAAAGAAAGCATGGACTATCTATCATTCAGAGACAAGAAAAGGCACAGAGGAACTTTAACTGCTGACGCTAAGAAAGAGGCCAGCATGAACGGCTACATATTCCAGCTACAAGTCACTATAGGACACGAGGTTTGTACAGGTGAGAGGGCAGGAGGGAAATTCAAGAAACGGGCTTTTGAAGGCCATGAAGCTGATCTGTACGATGCTGCCGAGGCAGACACATGCTACTGACCATCTGTGCAGAGCATGTGCAGAGTGGAACCTAAAGCGTGAACTACGGCCCACTGACAACGACGCACCTGTGGGCTCAACTGTAACCAAAGTGCCACACTGCCTGTGGAGGGGTGGGGGAGGGCAGCCGCGCACTGACAAGGGAAGAGTCTTCCAGGAGCAGGGAGTGTGTGGAGCTACAGTATGTTCTGCTCATCCTATGAAACCCAAAACCTGTTTAAGAAGTGAAGTTGATTATTATTATAATTATTACTATTACTATTTATTTTAAGAAATTGAAGCTAAAAAACTATGCATTTTTTCACAGGCAAACAAAAAGGACTGAATGGAAAACCCAGCAACACAGACCACTTGTACCCTGGGAAATAGAAAAAGGAAGGGCATAAAACAGAATTTCAGTAGCTTCACAAAAGCTTTTAAGACACACTTAATGGGCCATCCTGAGCTACATGAGGCCCTGTCTCAAAAGAGGATGCGTGGTTATGCCATTTAAAGGAACACAGAGGAACGTAATAAATGTGTCTGCCTGAACTTTTGTCCTGCCATTGAGAAAGTCAGAGATTTTACAGCAGACAGGGTACCATGCTCCTGAAGAAATACATTACGCACTGCACAAGATGAGGTTCTTTCCAAGCTTGTTAAACATTATTAGAAGCCTTATGTCAGATAACTTGGGATGTTTATATATGCTGCAGAAGTTGAATTAGCTCGAAAGATGGTTCTTTTTATGATGAAATTTAAAAAACAACCTGAATATAAATTTATGGTAAAACTGTTATCTTTTCTGTAAAATAGGAATGGGGGCAAGGGCGCAGAAATTAACATTTAAAAAGTATCAAAACCTAACACGCTGAGACCGGGGAGCTGGTTCAGCAGGTACAATGCCTGCTGTCCGAACGTGAGGACTTGAGTTGGGACCCGAGTACCCATGTAAAGGACAAACATGCCAATGTACGCATGCCAGCAGAGGACCCAAGCGGATCCCAGGGACGCGCTGGCCAGCTAGGACAGCGGAAACGGCAAACTCTGGGTTCAGTAAGATACCCTGTCCCCCACCCTCACCTCCACATACACATACAATACACACACACAGACACTAATAATTAGAGTTTTAAAATTTGATCTGGCAATCATCAGCTTGACTTGTGACCAGGGTACTGGTGTGAGCTGGGGCACAAGGAAATAGAGATGACATGCAGGGGGTCATAAAGCCAGAGCTGGGTCTCCCACCCCCACCACCCCTGCTACCACCTGCTACTGGGACCATGAAAAAGGAGGGCTGGAAGGCTTGACATGACCTGAAACTTGCTCCATGCCACTGTGCTTTGTGCAAAAGTTAGGCTTTACACATCGCTTCCTTCAGAGGGAAAGCAAAAACAAGATTTGATAATAATATCTAATGTAAACCACCTTGCAGTTTTGCTATTTGAAAATGAGTTAAAAGACAGAGAAAATAGTGCCAAACAATTGACACCTGATTCCACATGTGCACTGGGGATATTCAACTTGAAGAGCATGTGAACCCACAGGTGTCCCATGTGCCCACCCAGGCAGCCAGGGTGGCCGGGCCTCCACTTACTCCGTAGGCTCCCCATGCTGGGAGCGGGGTGGGTCCTTGGAGGCAGCGTGCTGTGGTAGGGTGGCGTGGTGCTGAACAGAATGTCGTTGGGCAGGGCCTGGTCCAGGATGGAGCTTCGAGAACTGGCAAAGGAAGAGCCCCTCCGGTTGCTGCATACACTCTCATCGGACAGCGTTCGGTACAACGACCTCCTTGGAGACAGGTTCCCGTAGAACGAAAACTAGGGGTTGAGCAAAGCAAAGGACGTTAACAATCTGAAGGTGTCAGGAGTAGTGGTGCACACCTATAATCCCCAGTACATGGGAAGCTGAGGCAGGGGGACTGCTGAGAGTTCAAGGCCAACCTGGGTTACATGGCAAGTTACAAGCAAGTCTAGGCTACCATACCAAGACCATCTCAAAACCTAATAAAACACCCACAATACATATGTAGTTAGAGTTGTCTGACTTTGCTATGGGAGTGGCTTCCTTGAGTCTTGTATCGTGCCTAGACTTCAGAGTTCCCTCCTCTGACATTCTGTGAAATACTAGTACAAATTAGACATGTACAGTTTTATTAATTCTGAAATGTTAAATGGAACCGTAGAGAGGCAAGTGCTCCTGGTAATAAACAAGGTCGCCATTTCAGACAACTGCTATTCACAAAAGCACACACCGTGGCTTGATGGTAATTGGAAATGACTACATTTTAATATTAGGCAATTGACAGTAGGGAGGTTCAACTGAGTCTAACTCAACTGATTCTGAACTCTGACATTTGCTGAGCCATATAAATGGGCTCAGGAAAAGTAGTTTAAAACCAGTAAATTCTACTGTCCACTTAAACATTACCACGTGCAAAAGTCTATTATAATCGTCTATTATAACTGAATTACAATCCATGGGACAAAAGTACTGCCAGGGTCAGTTTTGTCAACTGACAGAGTCTAGAATCACTGGGAAGAGTGTCTCAAATGTCTACTCTGGGTTAGCCTGTGGGAATGTCTGTGGGAGGTTGTCTTAAACTATGTGATAAGGGAAGACCCAACCCACTGTGGGCAGCACCATTCCCTAGGCACGGGCTCCTGAACTGTATGCAGTAGCGTGGAGACACTGAGCTGTGCACAAGCAAGCACACATGCACCCACTTCTATTTGTTCTTGTCTGTGGATGTGATGTGACCAGCTAGCTGTCTTAAGTTCCTGCCTTGACTTCTACACATTTATGGGCTGTAATCTGAAATTGCAAGATGAAATAAATCCTTTTCTCTTCTCAGTTGCTTTCTTAAAGAAAAAATAACCGCAAGAGAAATGAAAGTAGGACAACCAACTCTAGGGAAACCACTAACATCCCTGTGTGTTAGCTCTCAGACACAGTAAAACAAATCCCAACTAAAGCAAGGACTCACAAAAAGTCAGGCCCGATTTCACTCTCCATGGCTTCCTTGGCATACTGAACCACCTTCCTCTCATGTAAATACCATTTCTAGAACACTCATTTCTAGTACAGAAAGAAGTGGACATTAACATTTCTGGATGTGGCAAGGAGGCTAGAAATCTCTCGATTGCCCATGTTCTATTCACTCTGTCTGGCCTTTCCAGTGAAGAATGCAACTGCTATGTGTGAACTGTAACACTCACTTGTACTGGGAAAAGGAAGTGATTATCTTTGAAGAAAACACACACATCAGGCACAAGTTGACCCATCCTGAGACGCTGCATGCTGTGGAGTCATCTACCCTTGAACCCAAGCACATACAGTCCCCTAACTGGGATCTGACACAAGTTTTAAGAACAAGGCTCATCGTGAGGCACTCTGGTGGGATTGATTCCCTTTTCATACCCCCGGCAAGTTCTTTACAGCTGAGTGCAGACGCTAAGATGAAAGCGGATGGGGACGGGGAGGGGAGGGTAGTGCCTGATGGTGCTGCTCTGAGAACACAAGACCGCTAACTGTGTGCTGTTCACAATGGGAAGTGCTCACGGCCATCCCAGGAAATGCCTCACTTTCCCACTTAACCCAAAGAAGCTTGGATTGCAAGTGAGAGAGGCGTTCTCTTCTAGTTCCAAAAACTAGTACATGCTTCACGTTCTACCAGCCGAGTCTCAGTTACTGCAAAAAGAAGTGACTGGCGAAACTTAGTTAGGCTTTTAATACTTTGCATTATTATTATTATTTTTTTTTTTTTTTGGTTTTTCGAGACAGGGTTTCTCTGTGTAGCTTTGCACCTTTTCCTGGGACTCACTTGGTAGCCCAGGCTGGCCTCGAACTCACAGAGATCCGCCTGGCTCTACCTCCCGAGTGCTGGGATTAAAGGCGTGCGCCACCACCGCCCGGCAATACTTTGCATTATTTTAAGAACTGTTTTGTTGCATTCATTTATTTATTGTGTGTAGGGCTCCTATCTGCCATGGTACAGAGGTGGAGGTCAGAGGATGACTAGGGGGAGTCCACCTTCTCCTTCTACTATGTGGGTCCTAGGGTCACTGAGGTCATCAGGCTCAGCAGCAAGTACCTTTAATTGCTAAGCCATCCTGGTAGCTCCAATTGTGCATTATTTTTAAAAGTGGCTTCTCTCTCTCTCTCTCCTCTCTCTCTCTCTCTCTCTCTCTCTCTCTCTCTCTCTCTCTCTCTCTCTCTCTCTCTGTGTGTGTGTGTGTGTGTGTGTGAGTGAGTGAGAGAGAGAGAGAGAGAGAGAGAGAGAGAGAGAGAGAGAGAGAGAGAGAGAATGAACTTGAGGAAAGCAATCAAAGACCAGTGCATTCTTTTCTTAAGAATGTGCTGCTGAGCATGAGGATGAGAAAGTACTGTCTCTCTGAGCTGTGCAACTCTGGTAGAAGACAAGGTTTGGTAGATGGGGTTGGAATTTAACCCCCCTCCACTGCTGGAACAGACGGCCTCCCAGGAAGACCTGGACAGAGTACAGACCGGAGGTCCTGGGTGAGTTAAGCAGTGTGGCTGAGGTTTGACTTCCAGCTGTCTAGACACTGTGTTAGGCCGCTCCTATGTATCATTTCCTAGCATAGTTATTGTCCTAATTTTTTTTAACATCAGCACACAAAGGCCACTTGCCTGTGTTCATGTAGCAGGTCATAGCTGGAGCTAAGACCTCAGGGGAGCCTGCCTGGCTTTCAGAGCACCTTCAAGAACACCATGCTCCCCACCCTAGCCTCCTCAGGCTTGCTTGCCCTCTGAAGGAATTGCAGAGCTGGGCTGCAGCTCTTGCCTAGAGTGTGCAAGGCCCTGGAGTTCCAGCCTCAGTACTAAAATGAAAACAAAGCAAAAAGCAAAACAAAAACCAAGCCTGCGTGGTGGTGGCATACACCCTTAATCCCAGCACTCAAGAGGCAGAGGCAGGCGGATCTCTGAGTTGTAGGTCAGCCTAGTCTATAGAGCGAGTTCCAGGACAGCCATGACTACACAGAGGAACCCTGTCTTTAAAAAACAAAATTCCCAAACCCAAACCTGACAACTGTGGCAGTGGCAATGGCCACTCTGTCCTGCACTCTGTCCTGGACTGTTGGTGGGACCACAGAAAAGCTTGTGGAGAGAGGTACCACGAGCATCCCGCAGTTGCTTCAGACTGACTGTAAGTGTTCCTGGTGACTCCAAAGCCCTCACGGTCACTCACCTTCCGTCTTCCCTCCTCCACTAAGGGGCTGTCAGGAAGCATCAACTTCAGAAAGTCATCTTTGGATAAGACATGCTGAGTTTCCGAAACAGAGTCTCCCACCACTGCCGGATGCTGAGTGGCTGTGGACATGATGTCCATCTCGCCATATATCCTGATGGAATAAACCAGAACATAGGTTCAGAGGAGTTGTGGCCTACCTAGGAGACACCCCTTGGTGGTCAGGAAACATTTGAAGGCTGAGGAGACAGTCCAGGATGAGGACCGGAGTTCCATCTCCCAGAACCCAGATAAAAGAAAGTCAGGTATGGTGGTATGCTTGGCACTGGGAAGGCAGAGCAAGCAGACCCGTAGGGGCTCTCTGGTCAGCCAGTCTAGACTAATCAGCAAGCTCCAGGCCAGTGACAGACACTGTCTCAAAAATCACAGTGGGGCTGGGTGGTGGTGGCACACACCTTTAATCCTAGCACTCCGGAGGCAAAGTCAGGCAGATCTCTGTGAGTTCGAGGCTAGCCTGGTCTACAGAGTGAGTTCTAGGACAGCCAGAGCTGTTACACACACACACACACACACACACACACACACACACACACACACACACACACACACAAACACAGGGGGTTCTCAGATCTGGCAGTTCACTGTAGTTGTGTATATGTGCCATCCCAACATCATCTCACATCTGAAATGAGCTTAAATATAGTTAGATTTCTAAATAATTCATAGACAACTCAGATCTACTAATTCCAAGATGAAAACACTACCAACTTTAAAACAAGGCACACTTCACTCCTAAACTATGTCAGAAAGTAGCTTCCATAATCATGAGACACTGTTAGAAACTGTAGCAACACGCACCTCCCTGAGGCCAGACAGCAGGACCCCAAGGCTGCCAAAGAGAGAAGGGTGCCCCAGGTGGCCTGGTTTTAAGAGAAAATGGCTGAGGCATGAGCTAAGCAGGTTTTATTGTTGGTGACTTAACAAAGCTGTTTGGATAAATAAAGCCACTGTCTTCCTTAATTACAAGGATATGAAGATGTATGTATAAGCTACAAAAGCCTGCCATGTTGAATTACTGTGCTCATGTCCTTTCCATGAGAGACTGGGGAGTTACTTTGGAAAGGTCTGTGGTCAAAACATGATCTGAGCAGCCAGACACTCTCGGGGACTCAGGGTAATCAGGCTGGACGATCTGTGCTGCACAACTGTAAACATCAGGCTCAGGAACTGGCTGCCCACAGCAGGGAACTAGAGGGTGACCCTCAGGTCAGTGTGGCACTGATATGCCTGTTCCAGTGAAATGCTACCTCATCACAGAGAGACGGCTCATGGGGGAGTGAGAGGAAGGAACATACCAGGGCCTGTCCATAGTGACTAAGCCTTGTGGGAAATTCTCTGTGGCTTTCTGCTTGTCTTTCTCCACCTTGAAGTTCAGGTGATGCTGACATTGTGAACAGACAGGCTGGGGCAGTAGATCTCCAGACCTTCCTGGCTTCCATGGGATAAGAATCACCAGTATTCTCTGCTAAACTAATTCTGGAAAAAATGTGTTCAACGATGTGCCATAAATATGCTCCAAAGGTTTATTCTGTGCTGGTCACTGTGACTATACAGGGACCCTGGATGACCCCTAGTCTAAATGTGTGGACATATATGCATGTAGGAAGTATCCAGAAGGTGCAAAGAAGAGCCCACCTGGGCGGGGCTGCCTGGGTAGGCTCAGAAGGCCGTTTGGCAGGAAGCAGGGCCACACTCAGTACCAGGCACAATTGCTCCTCTGCTAATATTATTTTTAAAAACAGGATACTCTGGGTAAAAGCCATCACAGAAGGCTCTATAACACAATTTTTAAAGTAACTAGTGATCCCCCTTGCTTCCTCCCTTCCTTTCTGGTGGTGTATGCATGTCTATGCAGCATTTGTGTGTGTGAAGGTTTAGGTCAGGCGCTGATATTGAGATGTCTTTTTCTGTAGCTCCCCATCTTAGTTTTTGAGACAGGATCTCTTGCTGAACCCGAAGCTCACTGTTTTGCCCGGGGATCCCTGGGAATACCTGTCTTCACCTGTCCGAGCTGGGGTTACAGGTGAATGCTATCACTCCTACCTCTTACATAGGTGTGGGAGTCCAGCAAGAACCTCATTTGCTGAGCCAACTCCCAGGCCCACTGGTAATTTCGGAGCTATGAACTTCTCCAAAAGAATGCAAACTGAGGTTTGATGTTATACACAATGGGGGTACTGCCAGTGCCTAATTCACAGCGGTGCTAGCCTTGTGGCTGCCTGGCAGCTTCCTGAATGGCTTTTACAGAGACCTGGTAGGTAGTACTCTGACAGGACTCAAAATCCAGCCTTGCAGTCCTGTATGGATGTCTTTCCTTAGAACCTGGGGGAGGTGCCTTCAACAATTATTCCTGACATGTGAACACACGTGGGGCTGTGTTCCTACACTGACACAATGACCTGACATATCCACTCTGGGCTCAAGTCCTAGGAAGTGGGGGCAGGATGACCGGCCTCCACAGGCCCTCCCTCCCTCTCACACATGCCTGAGCAAACACACGGGAGAATGCCACTTGCCTCATGCCATCGGGCTGGGAAGATTTCTTAGGTGAGGGACTGCAGCAGAGACATGCTGGGCCCCAACTAGTATGTGTGGAGTTGTTCCCCAGGGATGCCAACCCCCTCCCCTCAACACTCCTGTATGGCCCCTTTCCCTTGACATCAGTATGGGCCTACTCATAAACACACACAGAGCCTGTGCCACACCTATCAGGGTTCCAACAGTGCTTTCTGGAATTTATAAAAGGCTTGGGATGAATTTCATGAAGTACCCAGAAGATGTATGACAGAACACCCATGCATGACAGAATACCCAAACGTTTTCCTAACATTAGCAGTTATGTGAAAGGTACAGTAGAAATGTCCTTCTCAAACATTTTGCAACAAATTGACAGAATTCTCTATATTCCAGGATTCCAGGGACAGTTTAAGCACTAACACAAGGGTCAACTTAGAAACTATAAGCATGACAGTTGGTTTAATATGGGATCATTTTATCAAATGTCAGTGCTAGTTCACAAACTAAACCTTGACTCTGAAGTGTCTCCTTTAAGAGTCTCTGCGCCCTCCCATAAGCTGTGCATTCACAGGCACACCCAGCCCATGCCTACACCATGGCAAGCTCACAGAGCAGAGCACACGATCTGCTTGTGAAGATTTTCTTAGATGATGTCAAACCTTCAGTTTTTCCTCCTCTTACACACACCAAGTATTCTCCCCCACCTGCCCATCAAAGCTCAAGAGTCCTACAAAACAATCAGGTAAAGTGTTTTTGCTTTTATGTTTTCTGACTGTGGAACTCATGCTGCCCTTGGCCTTGAGCTACCACAGAGTCTATGCCCGCACCATGGCCGGCTGTCACCATGACTCCACTGCAGGCAGCTTTTTGGATAAAGAATCAAAAACAGCAGAGTTTACATTTTTTTTTTTAACATATAAAAGTCAAGGGCTGGAGAGGCGGAGAGATGCTCATCATGCAAAGGGCTTTGCCATCTCAAAGTGCAAGCTGGACAGTCTAAGTCAATCCCGGGAACCCTTACGGCGGACAGAGAGAACCAACTCCACAGAGCCATTCTCTGACCTCTGGTAACACGCCACGGCACCCCTCTCCACGCCATCGCCACCGTCACCATCATCACCACCATCAAATGAAGACTTCAAAGAGAGGAGCACAGATGCCAACATTTAAAGAGTTCAGAACAGAGGCTGGGGAATGGAGATGGTTCAGTGGGTAAAATGTTTGCCTTGTAAGCGCATGAACTTGAACTCCACCCCCAGCACCCAGGTAAAAGGCTGAACAAGGCGATCTGCACTTGTAATCCTAGGGTTGGGGAAGTGGAGACAGGAGGATCACTGGGGCTCAGGGGCTGGCCAGCCTCACCTACACGGTGAGTTCCAGGTCAATGACAGGCCCTGTCTCGAGGAAGGTAGATGGTGCCTGAAGACTAGCATCAGAAGTCGTCCTCTGGACTCCACACGACTGTGTACAAATGTGCACACGCACGCGCGCGCGCGCACACACACACTCTGCTCTGGCTAGTTTTATGTTAACTTGACACAAGCTATAGTCATCTGAGAGGGGGGAACTTCGACCGAGAAAATGCCTCTATAAGATCAGGACATAGGCAAGCCTGTAGAGCATTTTTTTAATTAGTGATTGATGGGGAGGGTAGACCCACAGTGGTTGGGGTCAACCCTGGGCTGATGATCCTGGGTTCTAGGAGAAAGCAGGCTGAGTAAGTCACGAGGAGCAAGCCAATAAGCAGCACCCCTCCATGGCCTCTGCCTCAGCTCCTGCCTCCAGGTGCCTGCCCTGTGTGAGTTCCTGTCCTGACCTCCTACAAGCCAAATAAACCCTCCCCTCCCCAACTTGCTTTGGTCATGGTGCTTTATCAGCAACAGTAGCCTTTACTAGGACAGACAGACAGACAGACACACACACACACACACACACACACACACACAGTTTGAAACACATTTCTTGGATTTCTTGGTTGCCCTTTTCTAGAAACCGTGCTTCCTATGGTAGGAAGGGAGTAAGGGAATGCAGTTGTCGATGTAACAAGAAGCCACTTACCTAGGGCATTCAGTGACTTCAGGTTCCTCAGGTGGTGGGCTGCCTTCTGACTTTTTCCAGCCAATGACATACTTGTTTGCTCCCCCTTGTCTGTGGTAAGGCTTTGCCACAGCCCCGGATACCTGCTGACCGCTATTGTGGGAAACGATGTAGACTTTGGAGCTGTCCAGAGACCCAGTGCTTTTGGAGCAGTGAGCAGAGGGGCTTCCTGAATGGTGAGAGCCACTGCGGAAAGAGACCAAGGTGGTGGCACCGTCAGACACAGAGGGACTTGTGGTCAGAGCTGGCCCTGGGCTGGGAAGGCAGGGCAACCTCTCTACCACACATCTTGCTGGATGCGAAGCCCCCTGTACAGAGGCTCCCCACATTCACATGTGGGCTCTCCTCTGGCAGGAACAACATGAGAAACACAACTGTGTGTGTGGTGGGGGGTGGCATATGCCTTTAATCTCAGAACTCAGAAGGCAGAGCCAGGCGGATCTCTGTGAGTTTGAGGGCAGCCTGGTCTACAGAGCGAGATCCAGGACAGGCACCAAAACTACACAGAGAAAACCTGTCTCGAAAAAACCAAAAACCAAAACCCCAAACAACAACAACAGAAACAGAACTGGAGGGAAATACTACAGCGAGAGACAGGCAGGCAGGTAGCAGGGCCGCTCAGGGCCTAAAATTCCACCTCAGATGTCCGTGCCTTCAGTCTCATTATAGGTAGAAAAACCTAAGGCCAATGAGGAGCTTCAAGCAGCTCCTCATGGACTTTCTAACCTCCTAACCTACCATATCAATAGATGAGGTATTTGAGAAAATCCCTTCGACCACCTCTTCCTCTACCTATGAAAGGCATGCGCACTGAAGGCGGTGTCCAAGGAGATCTCACTTGGCAGGAACACAGAATTTGCTGCCATACAGAGTCCCCGAGGGTCTCCTGACTCCTGACACCCGGTTTCTTACAAGTGTTCTGAACTTTGAAAAGATGTTACATGGCTGCAAGACCCCAAGGTAGCTTTTATAGAATGGCCAACTTTTACCGGCTCCTGAGAAGAGGGTGGGACTCATCTCGGGAGTAGAATTCCCGTGACCCCTGAATACAATGTCATCTAGCACTGAACTTACTTTCTTAAACAGAACCGGTAAGAAGCAGTCAGAATGTCTACTCGGCACACAATCCCCTCACCCTCTGTTCCCTCGGCCCTGGAAACCAGGAGCCGGTTCTGGGCTCCACTCCCGTCGTCCCTTGGCGTGGTGAATGTCACCACGGCTCAGCAGCCCACCCCCAGCAGAGGCTCCAGCTGTCCTCAGCAGGGCCACCCTCAGCCACCGTACTTCAAAGCCAAGGACAGGTGAGAAGACATGTGGGTGGGGCGATGTGATTTTAACTTGTTAACTTGACTAGATCTGGACTCTCTGAGGTGACAGGTGAGCCTGAGGGTTGTTGAAGACCCACCCTCAATGTGGCCAGCACCATCCCACAGACTGGGTTCTGGGCTGATTACAAAGGAGAAAGTGAGCCGAGCACCAGCGTTCGTCTGCTTCCGGACTGCAGAGGCACTGTGACAGGGGCTTTGTTCTTATGTCATCATCCCCCCACCATGATGGACCGCACCCCTCAACCACGAGACAAAAGCAACCCCTCTCCTTAAGTGGCCTTTGTTACGGACTTTATCCCAGCAAGGAGAAAAGAATCTAGCTGGTACAGGGACTTCTCGGGGAGACTTGTGCCTTCTGAATACACTAGAAAGAGCCCTTCTCACCTGGGAACAGCAAGGACCAGGGCCTGCAGGTGGCAATCGGTTTTAGCCATGAGGAAAATGCTCACAGTCTGAAAGGCTGTCACATGGAGGCTAAATACAGGGAATCCAGTGTCGGGCAATGTCACTTGGCCAAGCTGAGCCTCAACAGTTCAAGATGTTGGGGTTACATGAGGCAAAGTGACACAGAAAGTTCCCCTTGGTTAAATGAACCGATGAGGGTGTCCTTTTACCCCACTATGCACAGCACTCATGGGAGCCACTGTCCTTTAGCAATGTCCAAGGGAGGGCGGGGGTGGGGAGCTCTAGGGAGGACTGTGAGCACTGCTCAGGAGCACTGCTCAGGAGCACTGCTCAGGAGCACTGTTCAGGAGCACTACTCAGGAGCACTGCTCAGGAGCACTGCTCAGGAGCACTGCTCAGGAGCACAGGCCTGTTGAGAGCGGGCAGGCCCCACCTCCTGGACATGCCTATCAGTCCTAGTCCTAAGACTAAACCCATTATGGTCTGTCCAGTCCTGCTCTGTGGCTGGAAGCTCCGAGAAGCCAGGGGGTGACCCAGAGCCCAGTGCAAATGTCGGTGGAAGTCACACTGCCTGATTAAATCCCAGCCACAGACACAATGACACACACGTTCTTCTCTGAGTCTTTGAAGAGAATGCAGACAACTAAGATGATCAGTTTTTAAACCAATATATGGATGTCTGTCAAGCAGGAATACAAAACCACACACAGGCATGTATTCTCCATCTATATTTAGAATACAATTCCCTTACATTTAGCTCCCCCTCACCCCCAACACTGAGCTATTCACCAGAGCCTCGAGCTATTTCACAGACAAATCAATTAATTTTCAGCCAGAATCTCACTAAAATGTCCAAGCTGACCTTTAACTGAGTATATGTCCCAGACTAGCCTTGATTAGCCTGAGTATTATAGGCCATCAAGCCCAGTCAGCTAACTCTTCATTTAAAAATCCCAACGGGGTGCTGGTAAGACGGCTTAGCATTTAAACATGTTTACTGCTCTTCCAGAAGATCTGAGTTTGGTTCCCAGCACCCACACCAGATGGCTTACAACTGCCTATAACTCCAGCTCAAGAGGATCCAACTCCCTTTTCTGGCCTCTGCAGGCACTACACTATGTGCACATACTCATATGTAGAACCCAAACCAAAATTCCAGCTGTATATTAATAGTCACACAAGAAACTTCAAGCCTGGCCTGTCACCAGGCTTCAGAGGCAGGGATGGTTTGCTGGTGTTCACAAGGGGCTGGGGTGGGTCCCGGATGAGGAGCCTACTGCTCTGCCTTCCCTTTCCCAGGGTCCCCAACTGTTTTCTGACAGACACGGTGAGATGATGTTGTATCTATAAATGAGTTATGCTGTATTCACAGTTAACCTGAGATACAGGTGGCCTGCAGGGTGGACATGGCTGATAAACACTGAAGATCATCCAGCTTGCAGCTCTTATCAAAAGATATCAGGGTCACAGGCTGAGCTGGGAGAGAGAAGTGACATGACCCTCAAATTTAAAGGGAAAATAAGATCACTAGGACATGACTAAACATGTATGCCCCCATAACAGAGTTTTGGAGGCAAAAGCTCCCTGGGAGGTCAGACAGTCGGGAAGTCAGCAGAAGCCAGCTTCAGGCCCCATCCTTACGGCTCCAGGCAGGAGCAGGTGCACCATGGCCCACGTTGGCTCACCTGGAGTGAGACGAGATCTCACTGAGGTCACCCATGCTGCCCTCCGCAGCACTGGTGGAGATGGCAGAGGCATAGCCATGCAGGGTATACATCTTGGCAGGTTCATCATCGGCTCCTGAGACATCAGCAGCGTCGGCCCACTGTTCGGCTCGGCTGTGGATCAGGGACCTGCTGCCTGTCAGATGCACGGGGCCAAGGATGGTGGCTGGCATGCACGGCGTGGTGTCGATGCCACTGTCCGTGGAGGCGCCTTTGATGTAGGTCAGTCCCAGCAGCTCAGGGTCCATCAGGTCCCCTGACCCAAAATGCTTGTCATCGCTGTTGCTGGACGTGTTACTGGAGAGAGTGTTGCTACTGGAGTGACTGGAACAGCTCTTATCCCCGATCTGGAGAAGAAGACAGACAGACAATGGCCTAAACCCCTTGGGTAAACCCCTAGGCACCGCCCTCCCCAAACACTAGGCTACAGCCAGGCCTGGGTTGAATTCTGTGTGCTTCTGGTGCTGTCGACAGAAACATGGCTTTTCTCCACAATAGCTTAGTCGTATGTGTGTGTGTGTGTGTGTGTGTGTGTGTGTGTGTGTGTGTGTGTGTGTGTAATAGTGGTCAGCCTCCCTTTTGTTTCCCAGGATGCCAGTCTATTTTCTTTTAGGTGCTGAGCTGCACCTCACCCTTTCAAGCACGGAGCCACCATATGCAGCCCTGCTGTGTACTGCACTGCATCCTATGTTCTTGCGCACTGTGGACAAGCATGTTTTACCACCCGCTGTGTGCTGACATACACCAGTCCTGGCTAGAAGAGTGATTGGTCATATGCAAACGACTTACATGAGATAGCTTGTTGGGGGAGTCTTTGCAGCTTCCATCCTTCTGCAGGGCTCTTTCTTTATAGGCACTCAGGACTTTGGAAGGTGGGCCATGCCACTTGGTTTCTGTGACATAAAGAGAGTTGAACCCCCAATTTCCAATGTTTGTAAGAGGAAGAAAAACAGGAATCTAACAGATAGTTTGAAACAATCGAGCAGGATAAGGAGGTCACAACTTCACAGGTTACCAATGGATATACATGAGCCAGCAAAACCACCACCACAGAGGATCTATTTCTACAGGCATTATAACCACAGTCATCTGAAGCCACGCTACAACCACAGGCACCCCAGAACCACTCAGTCACCCCAGAACCAACCGGCCACCCACAGGCACTGGCTCCCATGCTGGGAGAATCAGCCAAGCCCTCTGGCCTAGCTCACAGAAGAGCTTATTGACTATGGCTGACAAGTGAATTGTGGGTACAGTGGGAAGAAGTGCAAGTCAAGGTCAAGGGGAGCCTTGGAGGTCGGTTCCCCGGGGGTTCTCTGTTACCTGGAAGCCTGCCTCCTTCTATGATGTCCTCATGCTCCCTGGCTCCATCACACTCCCCAGGGCCCGGGCCCTGGTGCTCGAGCAGGAGAGGGGATGGACACCTGCAGAGAAAGAGTCCAGCTGTTCGCAAATGACACCACGAGCCAGTGGAGGACGGGGCTGTCGGCTTCGGCAGGGGCCAGGCACGAAATAGCTCTTGGTTCCTCTAGAGGCCATGGCTACCTATTGGCGCTCTAGGCCTGCAGCCCTCCGCAGAAACAGTTCCCTAGCCAGTGGAACTGCAGCATCCTGGCTGATGTCTCCAGAGAAGATGCTGTTTCACTCGGAGTTGACACAGTGCCTGCCAGACAGGCTTTAACATCTGAAGATGCTGTCACAGCTGCAAGAGGACGCAGGCTGTCCGGCTATGTGGAGCACGGGGATCTTTCTTTCTTTTGACTAATGCATGTGGTACTGACAGATTTGAAAAAAGACTTTTTTTTTTTTTTGGGGGGGGGGCGGTTATTTCAAGACGGGGTTTCTCTGTGTAGTTTTGGTGCCTGTCCTGGATCTCATTCTGTGGACCAGGCTGGCCTCGAACTCACAGAGATCTGCCTGGCTCTGCCTCCCGAGTGTTGGGATTAAAGGCATGCGCCACCACTGCCCAGTGAAATACTTTTAAAGAAAAGAAAACCTAGATTCCACCCAGATGGCCTTTGCCTTACAGAAACATGCAAAAGGAAGATGAATCTTAGAAGAAAAGGAATTGAAGAAAATGTGTTTGTATTACAGTCTGATTCATAGGGATGCTGTGGATCTTAAACTATACAAGGGGTTTCCATTCACATGAAAACAAACCACAACACCCTCCTTGTGTAGCTTCATTTAGAAAAGGCACTTGACATTTAGCTGGGGAGAGCTCTGTCTGCCATCTAAGGTGACGAGCATGTCACCTGGGAAACAAGTGCCCACTTCTAAGCCCAAAATGGACAGCAGAATGCCTGGACTCAAGTTCTTCTCTGCACCTGAAGACAGTACCATGACTCCATGACTGCCTGCAGTCGGGGTCTTCCGTGGACAGACATTTTCTGTCCACTCCAGTTTGAGGCCTCCATGGATCGGGGACTGTTCTGTTCACAAACAGGCCCAGATGCTGACCACCACAGATGGACTGGAGTCACCACAGAGCACAGCTAGGACATGACTGCTGCAGTATGGTCACTTCAAGAGTCCCATATAAGGTCAGGTCAGTGTGTGTGTGTGTGTGTGTGTGTGTGTGTGTGTGTGTGTGTGTGTGTGTCCACAGGGTCTCCAGTTGTAACTACACTGCTGACTCCTAGGATATGACACAAATCACAAGGGCTACTGCCCAGGTGGCTTCTCCAACAGGAAGTGAAGATGCTTCAATGATAACCTCATTTCTCTGGCTCTGAGGCGCTGTCTCTTGCTAGCAACTTAAGTTAGGGGGACTTTCTGAGAGATCCTACCCACAAAGTCCTCAGCTCTTCACTCTTGTGTTCAGAAGTCATTTCCACAAAGTCACAAAGAAAGCAGGGTTTTAGGGAGACTAGAGAACATCATGTCCACAGAAATGGAGTTTCCTAGCTGGATGTGGTGGCACACGCCTGCTGTCCCAGCACCTGAGAGGCTGACAGAGGTGGACTGTCACACTAGAAACCAGCTTGGGCTATAGTGCAAGGCTGATTCAAGCAAAAGAAACGGTGCTTCCTAGCCTGGGCCCGGCACTTACTGCAAGTGCCTGTTACTTGACATTCCTCAGGTGGTCTTCCATGCAACCCCCACACAGGGAATGCTTTTGAACGAATCCCAGGCATAGGTACAGGCTCCCTTGGGGAGACAGAAAAGCAGGAAGGAGTCATACCCATCATAGCCCACTTGTGGTCTCCAGGGTCCACTCCCACCCGGTCCTGGGTCACTGGATGATGACTGGTTGCTGGGAGAACTTCTGCAAGGGAGAAAGACCAGTGGCAGTGTTGTGGACATCAGACATCGCCAGGCCAGCCCACCTGTCTGACTTGAGCTGGTTACAAACAAATTCGCTTGGTCCGTGACAAAGAGCCAATCGATCACATTGCAATGTGAAATGTGAAATATGAAATGGAACCAATCATGGACAGAACATCTAAGAACCAGCAATCCATCCCAGGAAGGAGATGTGGTTAGGTGGGCATCTGCTGTCTGAAGATGGAGGCACAATGACAGCTCCAGAGGACAGAAGCAGGGACACAGCTGGAGCATACAGCAGAGCAGCACTCACAGCTGTTACAAGGAGCTTAATGCCAGCCACGTCTGGGTCAGCAGAGAACAAAGCTGGAATTCAGCAAATCCACTGACTTTCACACAGCCACCACATGTAATTCTACAGATCTTCTCCCAAATATTTGTGAAAACTCACTTGATAGGGATAATGCTAGCCAGGATTCCCTCTGGAACTGGGTCACTCTGGTTTCCTCTGTGATTCTTGAAACTGTTTAATTAAGGGAGGTTCTGCTGACTCCTGCTCAGGTGTTGCTGGCTGTGGGCCTTGCCCTGCAGCCTGGGCGCCTTTAGAGCATGGACAGTGGGTTACAAGCCCCATGATCTTCAAGCGACGAGACTTTGCAGCCCAGATGAGTTAATTAACGTAAAGTTAAAAGACTCCTACACTTCCTGGGAGAATTAGAGGAGGCAGAAAGGGCTACACATTTTGATAATTCCGGTAAATATATCTGTAAGTTTACAGTGTGCTGTGCCTGGTTCTAAGCTTCTCACTGATTGATATGGTCAATCCTTAGAAGGGCTGGCCAGCATCTGCACCCTTCTCATTATCTTCCAGACAAGGGAAGTAGATCAGAGAGACCCAGGGGACAGTGTATCATTTAAGTAAGACCCTAGCTCCCAGTGTGTGCTGACAAGTCTACCAGACCAGATCCTGGCAGGGAGCAGCTGTCCAAAGTAAAGACATACATCTCTATGTCACATGGAAGTTTCCAGATAGGCATTACAAACGGAATTCACTGTTTTGCTCTCAAATACAATCTATGCAAGTTAGGTGCCCTGAACTCTCATCACCTTCTCATGTTATTGGATTTAACTTTAAAAGGTGGATTCTTCCATTGAAAAAGCTATTATTGAGCTGGGCCTGATAGCAGGCGTGTAACTTCAGCTGCTTTAAGATGGCAAATTTAGGGCCAGAGTAGGTTACAGGGTGAGTTAAAGTTAGTCTAGGAACTCAGTGAGACCTTATCATTAGATTCACTTGGATTCAGCTCACTTCGCTTGAGGTGAGAGAGAGGGCCACTGCTTGAAGGCTTACATCTCTGCAGTGGGGAAGTCCCTGTTCGTGTTTATGTTTGCTTTATTCATGCTCAAGTGCTCCTAGACGTACACCGACAATAGCTCTGGGTGTTTGGAGGGCCAGCCACCACAGAGGGTAAAGACCTGGAGAAGACGGCAGGCAGTGGCCCAGGTAGGCAGAGGGCATCTGATATTATATCAGGAAAAGGCTGGACTCTAAGGGCCACTGTGCCCAAGGATACCCGATTGCCCTGCTTGTCCAAAGCTCACAACAAGCCACAAGGAAGGCTGTGGGTATTACCTGGTGCCATCAGGCAGCTTCCTATCAAACGACGTGCTCCGGGGGATGGCGGCCTGGGCCTGTTGGAGCAATGGCTGGCACTGTAGACGGTCAGGTGTGCCTGGCACAGGTGAGGCTCTGGAAACTGGCTGCAGGGCAGGGGTGGGTACACGGTGCCACGTGGTGTTCCTCCGGAAGGGTGTCTTGTACTCGCAGGGCGTGCCCTCACTGTCCAGTTTGTACTCCACCATGGGGATCCGGCAGAGCTCTGAACAACCCCTGTTGAGGCAAGAAGAGGTGGTGGGAAGGTAGCTTCTTGTAGGACCCCAGGCAAGGCCTGCTCACGGCTGAGCAGGTTCTCCTTGCAAGCACACCTGTACTTGCTGGGGCTTAACTGGATGCCACCTAACATCGACCCCAAGAAGCATCCCTACCCATGGCGACTTTGCCTAGATGCTCCAAGCTGTTCAGCTGCTGTTTGGCTAACAGTCACAGATGGAGGCTCTAAAAGGCCCCGTTGTGGCTTTCTTCTCTCTGCCAACACACTACTGGCTGGCTGGGGTGGGAAGTGCTGCACAGTGGGAAGGGCTAGAGCCCTTTGGATGCTGTGGGCGATTGTTAGTTGCTAGGTGTTTTCAAAGACCTTCTGTACTCCTCCAAGGGCTGCCTACTGTCACTGGACATCAAAGCCCAGAGAGGCTGCACACCTGCGCAGGATCACACAGCAGGGTCATGACCAGACAGACCCGGGTGCTACGAATGTCCACAGAGCCAGACACACACAGGCCACTGTGCACCAGGACCCAGGCATCAGGGTGAATCGCCCAATTGGCCATGCTGGTCTAGCAGTCAGTAGCTGGAGGCGCTGCCCCTCACTAGATAGTCAGCATAAAATTCCTAGGCAGCCTTTGGAAGAGCTGCTCCAGGAACTCACGTCCACCAGCTGATGCTGGAGTAAAGCATGCTCGTTCCTTTCAAAAGCATTGCTGAGGAAGAGCAGGAGCTTAGCACCACCCAGGACATGCAGAGGGAGAGCCACCATGCCCTGCACAGCCCAGAGGCTCAGCCAAGAGAGGCCAGTACGGCCAACTGACAGTGAATGTGGAGGGTCAAGACACAGGGCTGCGTAGAAAGCAGGGTCCATGACAAGTTCAAGCCTAGGCCCTGAGGTCCAAGGGGCAGGGGGCAAGGAGGGGGACCTGGAGAATAAGCACAGGGCTCTTCAGTGTTCTGCAGAAAGAAGGGAGGGACTTGGGTGGTGGCACTGGGAAGAATGGGTGGGAAATGAGAAAAGGAGACTTGGCCTTACCACCTCTTACCAAATCCAGCTGCCCCCCAAGGCAGAGTGAGGACCACTTTCACCAGAAAGACAACAAATGCCAGTCCCCAGCCCTAGGGAGAAGCTCCCTGACCAGCCAAGGCTCAGAGAATGAGTAGGAGCCTCTGACCCCGACAAGCATGATAACTAGGTCTTAAAGTTAAAAAAAACAATATGGCCAGACAGTGGAATGGTAAACTGAGGCACTCTCCCAAAGAACTTAGTGGGAACAGATATGAGAAAATTCAAGGTGACCCCCAAATGCCCATCTTTCACCAAAAACGAGGGAGGAAGGGCAAGGTAGGAAATCAGTAAGAAATACTATCAGAAAAGCCAAAATACCAGAACTAAAAGACACGTCAAACTAGATTGGAAGGCCCACAGGGGACCGAGAGTCAACTCTGCATACATCCTTGTGGAATTCAGATCCTGGGTCAAAGGATGACCTGAGTGAACATGCTAAGAGACCTGGGTGGAGGGCTGGCCAGAGCCCCGCTCTCTCCAGCCACGCTGGGAGGTACAAAGGGTAGTAGTCCATGGAAGGCTTCCGTTCAACATCCTGGCTGGAAAGCACTCCTAGCTGCTCACTAGACCTTGATACTGGCCCAGAGAGAACCGCCAAAAAGAAGGGCCTGCTTTGTGTCTCAAGGAACCTGAGTAGGTGATGGTGCACCCTTGGAGGGGCAGCATGGGTGAGAAAACCCCTCCAAAGATGTACCCCTGTTGTCTTCAGCAGGAGAGGCTCTGAGCACCAGGACCCTCACCTCATTCCCCCCCTCTGATTCCATCTCCTTCCCCCAAAGCAGTTTGCTTCTTAACCTAGCTCATATCTCTGGATTTTCTGAGTTTGACAGTCAAATATTTAAGTTCAGATTTACACTGGATTGAATTGTTTTATTCTGAGTGAAATCTGAGGAAACATTACAAATTTTACCAGAGGACTTTAGTTTATGAGTGCTTTGCTATGTATCTAGATTCAACACCCCTCCCCACCCCCCAGGACTGCCGATTCTTCCACATGGTCAACGACCCAACTGGAAATCACCAAATGGGACGTGACAGTTGGGAGGCCCAGGAGCACTCAGAAGGCCCAGTGTGTCCTACTCTCACTTGCTGTGTGTGCAGGGGACCACAGGCTGTGTGTCTCTGTGGCTGTGCCTGCACGTCTGTTCTTCGGTTAGAAGAGGAGAGGAAAAGGCAAGGCAGGTGGAGGAGAACAGGGCAGTCTACTTAATTCACGCCTGCGGACTCTAGCTGTCAACAGCACACTATAATTTCACTGGAATCCTGGGAGAAAAAACTTACATAAATGCATACTCACACCTAGAATTTGAGAGGAGTGTCATGCATAAGATAGAATAAGAAAAAGAGCACAGTTATGTTTCTCCAAACATCTCAGAATCTCAAAGAAAGTTGTATGTAAAAGGTTTTTTTAAAATGCCAAAAATCTGCAGGTTCTCCCCACCCCCAAGAGAAGTTCCCTATTTTCTCAGGCTGGAGAGGAAGCTCAGTCGATGAAGTGCTCACTGGGCAAGCATTAGGAGCCAAATTCAATCCCTCAAACCTACACACAGTCCTGGAGGGTGGCATGCACCTGGATTCTCCATGCTAGGGAGGCAGAGGCAGGCAGACCCCTAGGGCTCACCGGCAGCTAGTCTAGGCAAGTCATTGCAGGTTCACTGAGAGACTCTGTCTCAAAAAAAAAATAAAATAAAATAATAAAATAAAATAAAATAAAATGGCGAAGAGCAACTGAGACCTGACATGGATTTCTGGTTTCCACACACATGTGCATCCACATATACATGTATACCTGCACACACATAAATGTATACATGTGCACACATGTAATGCTATAAAGTGAAACTTTGAGAGCGCTAACTCTAAAGAACAAAGATCTAAAGATTTGCTTGACTTCCGTGGCTAATATGTTAAACATCACAGACTGTCAACCTTAGCTCTGCTCCACAGGTCTGAGGAAAATCCTCACGGAATGCATATAGAAGCACTGCATGTTAGCCCTCAGAGATCCCCTTGCTTGCTGCAGAGGTGGATCTGCTAGAGCCTTGAACTCACCATCCCTGGTTGGCCTGGATGTGAAATGTCCCCACAGGTTCATGTGTTTGAATGCTTGATTCTCCAGGTGGTGGCGCTGTTCGGGGAGGTGGGGCCTAACAGGAGGACATGGATCTCTGGCACAGAGGCCTTGAGGTTGACAGCCCAGGCTCCACTTCCTGCCTACCTCTGCTTCCTATTCTGGATGTGAGGAGTCTTAGAGCGTCCTGCCATAGCATCTCAGGTGAGCCAAGATGACCCCTTCCTCCCTCAGGATGCACCGATCAGGTAGGGATTCTGTCAGAGTGACAGGAAAGTAACGAATACGTAATGGTCTCCAGAGACATCCTGGGTCCTCTGGATAACCTCTCTTAGACTACCGGAGATGGCATCCCACAAATCTATTTTACCAGGAGTGAAAGGCCAGCTGAGACCCAAATACGGCAAAAAGACCTAACACAAAATGACATTTCTTAAGGGAGAAAAACAAAAGCTCTACTACTCTTGAGTGTAAGTGAAACACCTTTCAAGCAGGGCCTGCACGCCTCTGTTTTCCTGGCACGGTACACATGTTCAGACACCAGTGCACAGCTTCCTCTCCACATACAGAACCCAGTCAACGGAGGGACGCACACTGCCAGCATCAGGCACACTGCAAGCTTTCTTGCCAACGAGAGACATGAAACTATGTTGGCCAAGGCTGTGGGTGAGATCACTAGCATATCAACACACTGATTTCCTCTGTGCTCTACAACACCCACAGACACCATCAACTTCAGGATCTAATTACCAGGCCAGGGAAGATCAACAGAAACCCAGCTTCTAGGTTAAAAATAAGAGGATTTTAACATTCCCCCTCTCTCCAACAACTTTTCTGACTCTAATCTCGTCACCATATACCCTGAAGGCACATACAATCGTAGGCCATGGCAACTGATGACGTGTTGGACAGAGTGTGGTGCTGCAGGTCTGCAGAGAACACAGTTTCCTGGACTGGAACCTCAGGGAATCTTAGGTTTTGGTGCCGTATTCTGACAGACAATGCTGACCTCTGAACTCACCACAGCAGACTTCTGGGGTAGTTCCACCCTGCACAAGAAGTGCTTGTTGACTAACTTACTGACTTAACGGCCTCAGAGGCACCCCTGCTCTCCAACACTGGGCCTGGCTCTGTCATCTGCTTTTCTCACTGTTGGGACAAAACACCTGAACAAAGCAACTTAAAGAAGCCTCCTCAGGGTGTGTCTCCCAGGCAACTCCACAGTCTGTCGAGTTGACAATCTTCACACTACCCTAGAGAAGATGCCTTGGGTCTACAGTGGCCCCACTTCCTGGCTTTGGACCGTATCTAGCAAAGAGGCGATGTCTGCTCCTGCTCACAGGTAATAGATACCCACGCTGACTGCCAATGTACACCATGGCTGCAGGTCCTAGTGTGTCTTTTTCCAGGAGCTACTGAGAGACTCTCTGGAAACAAAGCAGACCCCTTTAAATAAATTACCTGCTTCTGTTATATTATTCATTTTGTACAAGAACCCTTTCAGAGCCCTGGGGATTAAGGTAATCGATGATATGTTAACCATTTTAATGTCTGTTATGCTAAGAGGTGTCTAATAGCTAAAAGAACCATTCCAAGTCACACAACAAGGGGGCAAGGCTAACTAATGTTCCTTCCTCTCTTGAGTTGTGAAGTCTTTTCTGGTGCACAAGGCATAACACTTCCTGCCAGGAGACAGCCACAGAAGGGACCTCCAGGCTGCAGAAGCTGCAAAGGCCAGGGCAGTGGCAGACCCAGGCAAAAGAGCTTAGGAACCAGCAACTGTCCTTTCAAGACCCAGAAAGACACC